CCCTGGGTAGAGTGCCATGGCTTCACAGCTCACAGCAACCTCCAACTCCGGGGCTCAAGCGAGTCTCCTGCCTCCGGCTCCCAAGTAGCTGGGACCATAGGCGCCCGCCACAACACCCGGCTATTTTTTGGTTGCAGCCATCGTTGTTGTTTGTGGGTCCGGGCTGGATTCGAACCTACCACCTTAGGTGTATGTGGCTGGCGCCTTAGCCACTTGAGCCACAGGTGCCAAGCCCCTTACCATATTCTTTAGCTCTTTTTTTTTTCTTTCTTAAGACAGAGTCTTACTCTTGTCACCCTGAGTTGAGTACAGTGGCATCAGAGCTCACAGCAAGGTCAAACTCTGTGAGGTGTTTGACCAGGTCAAGGCTCAAGTGATCCTCTTGCCTCGGCCTCCTGAGTAGCTGGGACTTCAGCACCCACCACAGTGCCTAGCTAATTTTTCTATTTTTAGAAAAGAGAGACTGGGTCTCCCTCTTGCTCATGCTGTCTTGAACTGCTGAGCCCAGTCAGTCCACCAACTTGGCCTCCTAGAGTGCTAGATTATAGGTGGGAACCACTGCAGCTGACCTTAGCTAATTTTTATAGATATTTCAAATATCTATAGATGTTGAATTTAATAGATATCTGTTTCTATATATTATAGAGGGTGTCACTTTTAAATTATCTTAGCAAAAGAAAGCATTTTATGCTCCTGATAGTAAACGTTTGTCAGTACTTAAGGTTTTGGCAAGAAGAGATTTATTAGAACTGCTGATGTTCTTTTACAGTGTTCACAGACTTGTCACAGTTCAGAGGAGCCCTCATAAGGGATTTTTTGGCTGATTTAACATCATTTTGCTTTTAGTAGTAGACAATAAAGTCCCAATTTAATATGTGTTTCTTGTAAGTGTGCATTACATATAATGGATCTATTATTTAATAAATGTGGATTCGTTTATTTGTTTCTAGGTCTTGCAGCCTTGCTCTTTATTTATGGAAAAATGTACATGGGCTTCAGGAAAACAAAATATAAATATTATGGTTAAAGAATTTATTGTTAAGGTTAGTGCCTTTCATATTCTTTGAGTTTATTCTTATTTTTCTAGCAATATTGTGTATTTTCTGTTACTCAACACAGTATCTTTAGATCTCTGACATAAATTAAGGTGAAATCTGTTTCTCTGTCAAAATGAGGTGGTTAATGTCAATAATGGTAGTATCTTTACTTGTGTAGGTTGTGACCAGTTGTGATTGTACTACAACTCAAACCCATTTCATTTGAAATACTATGTAAATAGTAATGTAGGTTTTTCCTCAATATGTTAAAATACTGGAATTGTTAGATTATATTTTATTAATAAATTTCCTTTTTAAGGTGTAGTCTTAAATGGAGACAAAACTTCTTGAATTTGCGTGTATTTTCTCTAAGGCATTAGGATGAATGCTGGGGGGACTTTCCATTTCTTTGTCCATAAATTTATTTATTGATTCAACATTTTTTGAACTTTTACTATGGCTAAAAAATTTCCTGTACAAGACATTGGATATAGATGGTCCTTGCCTTCAAAAAACATAATGACCTATGTTGGAGAGAGAAGTAAATCAATGATTACAGCTTTTAGTGCTAGAGGCTTGCAAAATGTACAGTTGGTAGCATAGGCAAGGTGCCTTAGTTCAGACCAGGACATCAGGGAAAGCCGTCTGGAAGCAGGGCCATTTGAATTGTGTCTTGAAAGTTCAATGAAAGTAGATGGAGAAGGAGGGAAAGGATTATCCAGACAGAACTGACAATATGCACACAGGCAGAGGTGTGAAAAAAATTTAAAAACTTAAGAGAAGTGATCCTATATGACTAGTGGTGGAGTTGTAGGACTGGGAGCATTAATTATGGGTGATATAAATAAAGTCAAAGAAAAATAATGTATTCAGTTGGCAAGTCAGTTAGGAAAGTAATACATATGAGAGCCTCCTTTTGGTGATGTAATTATTTCTTAGCATATTAAGTAAGGAAGAATTATCGGAAGTAAACAATAAAGAAATACATTTAACTTATGTAATTTAAGATTTCTCAGACTGTGGGGGACTCTGGCAAGCTGATAGATAGGCATTAGGCCACAAAGAGCTTGTATGGTAAATTAAGGAGAATTTGAATTTTTCCTGAAGGTTATGGAAGTTGCTGAAGATTGTAAACATAGGAATTCCATCCCTGGATTTAAATTTTAGAAAAATTATGCTGCTGGCAGTGTGGAGAGTAGGCTGAGAGGGTGCTTACTGGACATAGAAGATAACATCAGTGTAGAACTAGGGTCTGGTGATAGGAAGAAGGAAAGTGAGCAAAGGTACTGCTATTGAAAGATAGGAAGGGATGGAATTTACAGATCTTGGGTTCAGTCAAAAGAGGTCTATGATTTCTAGCCTTCCTGTTTCAGTAAGACACATGGAAGCCCATCTGTGTGTATCTTGATGAGGAACACACACTTTGCTTTACTTATACAGCAAACACACACCTTGCTTTACTTATACAGCAGATGTGTAATAGAAATTTTCATTTTCAGTCTGTATTTGTCTGTTTACCTAACACTGTTTTGCTCTGAATTGAGTGTTTTAATTTTTGGTTTTGCTGTCAACATAGGACATTAATTACTTGATTTTAGGCAACCCGAGTAGAAATTAATGATACGTTGTTAGTTGACTTGACACATGATTTTGAATTCTCACTTGTTTTTCTTAGTTGTGAATTTAATATACTTAAATTTTTTTTATTAAATCATAAACACATAGATCATGTATACATTAATGCATTTATGGGGTACAATGTGCTGATTTCATATAGAATTAGGAGTGTTTACATCACACTGGTTAATATATACCTCGTCTCATTTACTTAATTCTTGTGTTAAGACATTTATACTCTATACTTAATAGATCTGACATGTACCCATGCATTATGCACTATAGGTGTGATCCCACCATTCACCCTTCCTTGATCTGACTCTCCCCCCCCGCGAGTTACTTTTTAATCTTTTTTTATCATGTATGCATTAATTCTTCTCATCTGGGAAATAATTTATTTTAAATATTTTTCTGCTTTTTTAAGATTTCACCCATAATTCTTAATACTGTGATGACCATCATGGCTGCTATGTCTCCAAAGACAAAAGAAGATGAATCCAAAGACACCTCTAAGGAAATGGAAAATCTTTGGGGCGTCAGATCCATTAATGATTATAACTCTTGGTTTCTTGGTGTTGACATGGCAACAGAAATAACAGAAAATTTCCAAGACATTGAACATCCGTTGACTGAGGAAAATTGCGCTGTTGTTGTGGAGTCAGTTCAAGTTACCTTAGAATGTGGCCTTGGCCATCGGACTGTGCCCTTATTACTGGCAGAGTCTAGGTTTTCAGGAAATATTAAAAATTGGACTTCCCTAATGGCTGCTACAGCTGATATGACCCTAGAGGTATGCCCACATCATTTAATACTTCCAGAATCTAAAAGTGTAATTACAGAATTAAGATATGAGCTCCTTCTGTCTGGGCATGGACACCAAAAGTATCTATATAAATAGAAAATGTATTCCAACATTTAATTTGTTGATGTATAGTGTTACTTTTTCATATTTTTTTAAAGATTCTTATTCAGAATAATTTGTCCATACAATACAGTCAAGAGAGTAAAGGAAAATACTCCTATATGTTGTTTGTACGTTTAGGTGGGTTTTTAAAAGGTTATTGATATATAACATTAATTACTTAATACTTTTTCCTACTGGTTACAGAAATATGTCATTAAGTTGAAA